GGGCCGCGGCGGGGGGCGCCCCCCCGCCGTGTCCCCTCTCCTGTGCCCCCCAATGTCCCCACCTCTCCACGGAGACCCTGTTTCGGGGGCCACAGCATGGGCGGCCCTGGGAGCAGTGTGGCCCAGCCGGCAGGCCCCCGGGTCCCCTGGTGTCCCCCGGACACCCCCGGTCCCTGTCCCCGGCAGAGGAGGGCTGCGGGAAGCCGCCGCGGTGCTGGAGGCCGGTGCCGGTGCTGCCTGCTCCTCCCTTGCCTGCCCAAAGCAGCCCCGGGGAGGACAGCGCTGCCAACAAAGGGCGACAGGGGGAAACTGAGGCACGGGGGCTGCCGGAATGGGGGACGGTTCTCCAGAGAGCTGGCCTGGGGTGGGGAAACGCGTGGCGTGCTGCCCCACATCTCCTCGCTGCAGGCAGAGCAGGTCGGTGCCGGCAGCTCGTGGTGTCTGCCCTCGTTTCAGGCACGGGAAGGTGCTGCGGGGCCACGGGCACCCAGGGGTGGTCCCTGGATGGGCGCCCAGGGCCGTGCGGTTCCAGATGCTTCGTGTCCCCATGCTGGCATGGGGTCAGCAGGGAGGGCAGTGGGGACTTTGGTTTTTTTTAAAATGCTGTTTTCACTGTAGCGAAGGGGCCGGGGACTGATGGCTTCTCCCTCCTGGGTGCTTGGCCACCCTGGGGATGCTCCACCGCCCCAGGGACGCTCGGTCACCCCGGCCACGCTTCGCTCGGTGCTGCAGCCAAACCAGGATGGCACGGCACAGGGGGGAAAACTTAGAGGTGACTTCGGCACGGGCTGTGTCCCCCACGGGACATCAACGTGCAGTAATCCCGCGGGAGGGAAGCGGTGAAGACCCACAGCGTGCGTGCTTGCGCCGGGGCTCCTGTTTTCCTGGATTTCACCTAGGAAAAAAACAACTGGGAGGAGAGCCAGGGAGCCTGGGTGTGCCGGGCTGCGGGTCCCACAGCCATCCCTGCCGGATGCCCCCGGCCAGCCCAAAGCGGGCAACCGCGTGCCCCTGCGCAGGCAGGGTTTGCCCAGAGTTGCTGGGGTGCTGCCCGTGCTCCCCAGGGCTTTGCCGTAGCTGCTCACGCCGTCATCCCTGGTGCCAGAGAGCGTCCGGGTGCTGCCAGGGGGGTCACAGGGATGGGGGGAGCCCCCTGCACCCCCGGCAGGGTGCGTTGGTGTCGGTGTTGTTGCAAGATGGGGTTGGACCCTCCCGCTCCCCCCCAGTTTTGCAGCTGGGGAAGCTGAGTCAGGAAATCCCGGCTGGCCGGGCCGGATCCTGGCTGAGTCATTTTGCAGGCGCTGAGTAACTGCCCATGCCGTGCCGTGGGGGTGCGGGGCTGCCCGTGGCCTCTGTGGGTGGGCACGAGCTGCCTGCTTTGTCTGCTCTGCCCGCACAAGCCCCCGTCAGCTCCCCGTGGCCCTGGCCTCATCCAGCTCACAGCCTGTGCCCACCTCAGTGCCCTCCTGGCCCTGCCAGCCCCGTGCCTCAGTTTCCCCCTGCGTTTTCCTGTGGGTTTCCCTCCTGCCAGGGACTGGATGAGGCAAAAAGCTCCTGGGACGTGGGCACGGGCTGGATCCGGCTGGGGGGAGATGGGGTGGGATGGGGAGCGTGGGGCTGGGTGAGCTCTGGTGTTGGTTGGGAGGGGAAGGCTGAGCCTTGGTGTGTGGGGAGGGGCACGGGGTCAGGGAGAGGGATGGGGACGAGGACTGGGATGGGATGGGAACAGGGACAGAGATGGGGACAGGGATGGGATGGGGACAGGGACAGGGATGGGTCTGGCAGGGGCTGGAGCAGGGCTGGGGGTGCAAGTGGGGACGCTGCGGGGTGATCCGGCCGGCCTCGCCGGCAGCAGGTTATAAATAACCCGCCGCGACACGAGGTTTTTTCCTGCCACCCCCCTACGCTGCAGCCCCACGGACAGGAAAAAGATGTTTCCGGCTGCGGACAGGAGCGGGGCACCGGCCCCGGGGGGACGCGGGGCCTGGGCCACGGCAGACGGGTGGGGGGGCCAAGTGACCCCCCCCCGGGCTGGTGCTCGGGGTGCAGCCACGGAGCCTGGGGCTGGCCGGACCCCTGACCCCGGCAGGGCCACTGCAGCCCCCGGGGCCCCCGGCTGGGCTGGCTGCGGGAGCCGCAGGCTGAGCCGCCAACCCGCTGCTGGGCCTGGCTGGAGCTGTCGTGGGGATGGGACGCGGTGCCACCGGGCTTGGGCACCCTGTCCCGTCCCCAGTGCCACCGGGATCGGGTACCCTGTCCCGTCCCCAGTGCCACCGGGCTTGGGCACCCTGTCCGGTCCCCACCGGGCTCAGGCATCTGGCAGGCGCGTACCCTGGGGGCATGTTCCTCCTTCCCGTGACCGGATCAGGATTCGTGCGGAGCCGGGAGAGCCAGAGCCGGTGCTGTGAGGAGGAGGGCCCCCGGCCATGCCCGTCACCCTTGTGGAGCTGCTTTCACTCACCGATCCGGCGGGACGTCCCCTTGCCTGTGCTTGCTCCTGGGGGGGGTCTGACGAGCTCCAGTGCCAGCAAAGTGACAACGGGACGTCACCCTGGAATGGGGACACCAGCACAGGCTGGGGCTCCTCAGCACCCATTCCCACCGCTGTGGTGACACCCCCCTCGCCGTGCTGGCAAATGGGTGACAGTCCCCCGTCACCTGTTGGGTGGCAGCTGGGGACGGCCTGCGCTGTCCTCCCGCAGCCCTTGGCACCCTGGGCAGGGGGGGAACCAGGCGGTGACAAGGATGGGTCCCCAGGGATGGGGCAGCTGGGACCACGCTGGCTCTGCCTGCTGCCCTGTGTGTCCCCAGGGAAACCCCAGCTCATGTCACCAGCCTGTCCCCAAAGGGTGGGGTTGATCCTCAAGCACTAACCAAGCCCCAAGGCGTGCCAGCCAGGGGCACTCGGTGGCCACAAGTGGTGATGAGGCCGATGGCAGCACCTGGGGAAACTGGGGCACAAGCTGCAGGCAGGTGGCAAATTGCCAATACCCATGGGTCCTCCTCGAATGCTCCCAGGTGACAGATCGGCCACCAACCCATCCCAGTGGGCTCCGACAGCTTCCCTGGTGCATTTGCCGGCACAGCCCAAACCCCGCTTGTCAGCAAGTGATGTCTAACGAGCTTCGCCCGGCCATGCTGCGGGGTCTGGGCGGCGATACGGACATCGGGCACTGTTGCCGGATTAACTGCCTGGATTAGGGGATGCGCGGGGGGAGGGGGGCTGGAGGAGACCCTGGCACTCGGCACCCACCGCTGTCATGGCAGGAGACAATAATTGGAGAAAGCAGGTTTTTCGTTAAGGGGGGCAGAGGTCCCGCTGAGCGGCGTGTTGGGGTTTGGAGCTTTGCTCTGTCCCAGGGGGTCGGTGGGGATGTGGGGGGCGGGAGCTGGGGTGAAGCCGCCTCTGGCTGCGGGACTTGGTCCCCCCGCGCTGCTCCGAGCTGGCCTGGCCAACGCCCCATGCTAGCGGGTCCCCCGACCCACCTGCGGCAGCAGCGCTGTCCCCCGGGACCTTTATGAGGGGGCTCCGGGTCACCCCATCTTGGTGCTGGGTTCCCATGAGCACCCGCAATGGCTGCATATTGCTTCACGGCAAGGTCGCATCCTGCAAATCCCCTTCCCCAAAAGGCTGGGCGGCACATCCTGGTGCCACCTGCAGTCACCACGTGTCCCCATGTAAGCGCGGTGACACCAGCCTCTGGCACCCACCGGTGCTTCGACCCGTGGTGATTTACGCCACGACTCCCGCAGTCGGGGCTGGACTCAGCCGTGGCCCTGCTGCGGGAGCTGCCTTTCACGCTGGCTGTGCACTGGGGCAGGATTTGGCCACAGAGCAAGCCGGGAGCCCGGGTGCTGCCCTGCAGGCACCAGGGATTGGGGTGCCCCAAGGCATTGCATGGGGAGAGGACAGGCAGGGACAAGCCCCAGGGCTGGCTGGGGCAGTGGGACTGGTGTCCTGGCATCTTCTCCCTGCCGGGATGTGGGAATTGGGCCCCGTAGGTCTTGGCCACGCTGCGGGGAGCGGGTTTGGGGTGGGAGCCAGCGCTGGAGTTAACTCCTCCCAGTATTTGCCTGGATTCCCTGGGTTCCCCCACTCCCATGGAGGAGCGGAGGTGGGAGCTGGAGGAGCTGGGTTTGTGCTTGTCCCCACATCCTCATCCTCGGCTCCCACTGGACACGGCCGCGGGGCCCGTGCGGATGTGGCCGGGCGGCGGTCACCTCCTGCAGCGGAAACTCGCCTCGCTCAGGGCCCGGCGATAAGTCACGGCTTCTCCACCCCTTCCCCCGCTCCTCCCCTGCCCCTCGCCCCGCTGGGCTCTGCGCCCTCCCTCGCTGCTGGCCCCTGGGGACCTGGCTCCCCATCGGGGTCTCCATCCCGGGGGAAGGCAGCAGTGCTGCCATCTGCACACGGGCTGCTCACTGCGGGCAGGCGGGATGCTCGAGGGATGCTCGAGGGATGCTTGGGCTCCCCTCCGGGAAAGCCGGGCATCCTCCGGGTGTGATGGACCCGCGGTGACCCCACTGGCCGCATCCCTTCGAGGCGGGAGGTTTGATTTCACGTGTAAAAGGGTGGTGGGAGCGGAGCTGCCTCCTGCTCTGGGGCTGCCGGGGGGAGCGCCGGGCCCAGGGGGCATTGCCAGCCCCTGCTGCCTCTTCCAGCCACGTGTGTAAGTGGCAGCCCCCGGCTCTTTGGGGATGTCGGCATCAGGGACACGCTTAGGGTTGTGCGGATAAACCCCAGGGACGTGGCTCCCTCTGGGCCGCGTGTCACTGGAGTCTGGCAGCGGTGGCGGGTGGGCAGCTGCCTGCTCACGCTTGGCGCGGGGACTGCTGCAACCCCCCCAAGACCCGAGCAGGGAGGTTTTTGCAAGCAGCCGCTGCGGATTTACAGCTCACTGGAAAATCCACTCATCCCATTAAGGGCTCCCCACGGCTTTTGCTTTCCATTGCAAATACCTGGTTGTCACAAGGGAAACCCCCTTGGGGTGCCACCGGGGCTCTTGAGGTGCCACCAGGGCTCTTGGGGGGCCACCGGGGCTCTTGGGGGGCCACCGGGGCTCTTGGGGCAAACGCTGCAGGGAAGAGTCCTGGCTGCGGGAGCAGCAGATTTATTTATTATACAAGGGATTATCGGGCTGAGGGGAGATCTCATCCCGCTTGCCCAGGTAAGACCAGATGGGGAAGCGTTGCTCGTGGTGGGAATGGTTCGTAGTGGGGGGGCTTGGAGGGTTCGGTTGGGAATCAGAGCCATAAGTTGACTTTCCCCCACGTGGTTCATC